CCACAGCAGCTCAACCAAGCGTCTTCGAAGCGGCGAAGACACTTAGTTGGGCTGCTGTGGCCCCACACCAAGATCAACGGGTAATCTGCAAGAGGATGTCACAGGTCCGGCTTTGTGGGCGGTCAGCGGATTACCCCGCAGATTACCGCCGATTACCCGCTTGCCCTGACATCACCTCTGCCGGGTTGATGTCATCTTCGGAGCGCCATAAAGCGCGAAAGCCGGGACCGACGACGACAAAACCAGTTCGACTGGATAGCCTGCGTTTGTGCGATCAGAATGCACCCTGTCTAAGGTCCTACATCCCGTCGGTTGCGAGGTTGCGGTGATTTGAAGCATTTTCAGCCTTGACGCGCTGGAGCTACAGCGGCGCTTAGCGGATGCATACCCCGTCTACAGGCCACTACCGCTGACTGTAGCGACGCAGCCCCTGACGGCCTGGGGCACTTTCGCCGCCAAGGTCCTCGTCATTCTATCAGACGGGTGTTCAAAATCACTGCGCCATCGACTTTTCGCTACCACCGACGTTGAATTGCCCTGACGCACGTTTGTGTCCCTTTTCGCCTTGCCTGTCCTTTCGGATGGCCTTGAACAACTTATCCAAAGAGCTGGGTCCACGTTCTTCGTCCATTTGCCTCGCCACGATATCTTCAGTTGCCGTCCGACTGGGCCCGCCTCCGAACCTCATCGACGATGATCTTGCGCGTGGAAAAGTAATTCTTCTCTGCAGATGGCCGCCATCGAGCACCCCAGTCTCGCTCAAGAGAATCCACAGAAGGCATTTCGCCCCAGCCCTGCCGCCAGAGACGCAGCAGCTCCTGTACAGATTTGACAGAACGGGGAGCTTGAAGCTCGGAGGTTCGCGCGGCCCAGGCGGCTCGCCATGCGCTCTTCCCTGGGGCTTGCCCGGCCCGCTTGCACCATTCCCTGCTGCTGCTAGAGAGAGCGGAGCGTATGTCGGACCGCCCGCTTGCGAAGGGCCTATCTCGGACCTGAGGACCGTCTCTCGTGGAGCGCGGCGCCTCTGTTGATGAGCTCCCGCGATCTCCGCATGTTGACCTGCAGCACCTTGGCCGGGGCTGAAGGTGACGTGTAGGTGGCCTGCGCAAACTCATCCAACTTTGTGCATAGTTCGTAAGAAGCCCCAAAAGGTCTAGATGTCTTCGCTCAGCTAACTGCTCGGCTGCGACCTGTTGAGTCAGTACTGTGCGCAGCTTCTCCGCAACCACCGGGATCGCTTTTGAATGACCGTGGTATGGCTGTCTTCGTGGTCCCGTGTGCATGTGTCTTGAACTTTGCTGGCGAACGCTTCAAACTCGGGGCAAGAGAAGACCGGATCCTGAAAGATAGGATGGTCGGGGTAGGACTCGCGAAGGAAGACAGCGTCCTGCAGGAGCACCTCTCGAAGCCACCCAGGAGTTCCAAGAAGGCGCCGGCGGCCATGTTCTGCTCCACCCCAGATCTGAGAAAGGGCTACTGTGGGCCTCTTTCCATTTGTCGAGTTGAGGCCAGACCTGCACGAGTAGCACCACAGGCGGCCTCACGGTGGCCCGGGCACGAAATAAGACCCCGACCATTCAGGGTCAAAGTCGGCCACGGCCTCGCGAATTGAAAGGCAGGAAGTCAGATAGCAGCCGGTCATTTGGTCTCCGTTATTCCAACGACCGGCTCGGCGGATCTGTATAGTTCGGGTCAGCCCAGGCCAGGGGTTGGCGGCTTGCCTAGGCAGATGACATGCCTGGCCTTCATCCACCCCGGCCATGTCGGCGTTTTGCGTCGCCGCCACTCTAGGCGCGTGGCTGACCTTGGAGACCTTGATGCCGGCCTTCTTGTAGAACCTGGACGTCCATTCTCGGGCAGTCTGGCCCGACAACGGAGCTGTATATTCGGTGAGTGAAAGGGTCGATGCACCTCTGAGTTATGGGATTCCGTGAATGCCATCACGCTTACCTTGAGGCTCCTTCGCCGATCGGCGGAGCACCTTCGTTTCATACCAGTCTTCGCTTCTTTGGAAGACGGGAAACCTTTCCGCCTTTTCTACCTGCCAGCGCCAGAAAAGCCAGAACGCGAGGGCGCCGATGAGACAAGATCGCGGATCTCGATGCCGCAGAGCAGATCCATACCCATGCGGCCGTGCTGGTTGGTCTTCCCACAGTTCATCACGACAACCAGCGCCTTTGTGGTATACCCTGGGCCTTGAAGCCTCGTTGGGTAAGTCCAGGGAAAGCAGTCTGCCAACTCCATCGGCAGGCGGTTGCCGGACCGCAGCAGCATGTGGTTCCCGAGCAGAAAGTCCACCTGCGTCCTCAGGGCGCAGGCGATCTCTCTCTCTCGGACCATGCCACGTTGGTGTGGTCGGGCATCTGCGCCGGCGCATACACATCTCTCAGAGTTCCAACTCCCTGTCCATGTATTCCTTCCTCTTCCGGCTCCAAGTCGTTGCAAGAATGCTGCGTTTGAGCGCCTTCAGTGCCACTCCCGTGGCCGGGCCGCAGGATTGACTCCCGGCTCTTCTGCTCGTCGTAAAGCTTCTGTATGGCCGAGACGTAGCCCCGTACAGTATTATACTGTAGTTTGAGCGTGGACTCATACAACTCCAAGTCGGAGTCTGACTCGTATTCGCTACCTCCGCCGCCTACAACGATGGTATCTGCTGGGGAAGCTGGGTGTTAGTATGATGGGCTGGCTCAGTCCGACGACCACATCCCGTGATCAACATCTGTTACCTGATGGTGCTCTGCGTCTTTCACGGCCCTCTTGGCTTCCTGAGCCTCGAGGTGTCGTTTTTTCATCGGCGACCCTCTTTCCTTTCTTGGGAGGACGTGATGCCACTACCTCCTTCATGAAGAGCAAGAGCTTTCCTTCATCGACCAGGTCTCCGGGTAGCTGTTGGCCCTGTGGTACCGAGGCCGGCCAAACGTCCGGGATCGCAGGCCAGTTGGCTTGACACCACTCCTGTGAGGCGGTCAATGCATGGATCTACATGAAGATTGCAGGGCGCGCATGCGGGCTTGCCTTCCATTCTTCCTGCTTGGGACGATAATTTCGCTTCGTATTCTTCGGCTGGGTGTTCTCCAGATCTAACAGGTAGTGCTCAATGGCCGCCCTGACCCGGGGATCCTCTATCGCGTTCGACATGGTGCAGGCGGTCGCCGTCGCGACGGTGGCAATGGAGGAGGTGGAGGAGGAGGTGGGAGGAGGGAGGTGGAGCGCAACGCGCGTGAGCGAGACCGAAATCGAAGGTCTCGCGCAGGCCCCGCGGGCGTGGACCTTCGATTTTGCCGTCCGATGGCGGTAATCCGACTAAGAAAACGCCAGCCCGCAGGGCCGGGCCTTCGAAAACGACATGGTTTTGCGTGGGGCGGGGCGGTAATCCGATTACCGGATGACCGGTCAGCCGGCCCCGGGACCTGTGACACCATCGATTTAGAAAGAGGTTCCAGTGTTGGATCCACCTGTGCACTAGGCACCGATCGCGCACGTATAACTAATCGACCGCGCTAGTCACGTGCGAGTAAGAGGTGGGGCACAGGGAGGAAGGTCTTTGCACACAGTTTAGGGACACGTTTCCCTGGTTACGCAAGATATAACCAATTGAACCAGTTCGAATAACCTCACTGCAGTGAAGAGCCTGTCCACATATTTCAATTTAATTCAAGTTAAGTAAGTTGAGCGACGAATTTATTTCAAGTAATCAAGTTAGACCCCCGAACTTGACTTACTTGAATTGATGTCAGCGCTGTTGCGAAGAGAACCGACGAGCTGGGAATGACCCTAGGGGCAGAAAACAAGGAGATATATTACGGAGAGAATGAATTCTGGTTTGGTGGGATGGTCTTCACGAGTTCATGCAACCTCCTGGGAGCAGAATGACCCATAAGAATGAGATTGAAAGAATGGTACGCAAGATTGTTGTACGCTATCATATGCGCGACATGGGTGACAAGGGACGCCACTTCGCGACAGAGCTGGAGCGACTGTTCGAACTGGCCGGAGCTGAGCGAATTGCGATCGAATTCCTGGGCAGCGGAACAGCCGAGGGAAGCAATTCTGCGACACAAGCAGTCATACAGGGTATTTCAACCATCGTCAGGGCTCTTTTACGCTACTTTGGCGACGCTTTCACCATACGAAAGGCTCTCGGAGGGTGGGTTCTTCTGAATGCCGCGAGGTTCTCATGTTTGCGCTCGTACTGGGACTCACCTTCCGAATCCGCGAGGGAGAGAGCGAGCAGGAGCGAGGCGACTTTCTGTTGACTTGATATGAGACATGGACCAAGACATGTTTAGGCAGCAGTTACAAGTGGTGAGTCACTGGATAGTGGCACGGACGTGCCACTATGTATATATGTATGTTGAGAGCTGTCAGACAGAATTGAATAGAAGTAAGTTCAATCGCAACAGGTTATGCACCCGGTTGCTTTTATTATGCTTCCACTGCACGATTGAACTCGGCATATGAGAACACTTTTTCGTCAAGAATCGACGGTTGACAGCAAAGACCCGGCACTATGGGCAAGAAAGACTACAAAGGAACCATCCTTGATGGAAGAGACTCCTTTGACAGCTGGAAGATGGATCTTGAAGATAACTTGTTGAGTGACGATCTTATGAGCTGCGTCACCGGTAAGGCAACAGCGGAATCGTCAGATTTATCAACGCCAGGAGAGAATGCTGCGGACATTAAAATGTCTCTCTTGCGAGAATGAAAATACGACAGAGTATTGACCAGATCCACAAGAACTCAGTCAACCATCTCACCGATCCACGAGCAATTTATCAATCCCTCGTTAAGCGATATGCGACATCGAACAAAGCGCGCCTTCGACAGCTGATCCGAATGCTATACGACGTTAGTACGCAGACGAATAGAACTGTGCAGGAGAAGGTCGACGACCTAAAGCGACTTCGAGCTCAGATTAATAGCCAAGACAAGGACATTGTTATCCATGAACAGCTATTGATTTGCTTCTGCAAATGAGCATGGACGACGCTTTTAACACTACGGTCGAGATCTTGAACGCCTCGACAGAGACGTTGACAATGGAAAAGGTGCAGAGCTCTCTGGAAAGCAAAGAGTTGGAACTCGTCGATACTACAATCAAGGGAGAAACCGCACAATCGCGGGTCGTGGCCGCAGTGCATGGAACAAAGGGAACAACAGGTCCAAAGCACAGGATGGTGGCGATGATAGCAAGGAGGAATATCTGAAGAAGGCAGGGGTGCTGGTCTTGTGGCGGTATGCATTTCAAGCATGATTGTGCAATTTGGCACCAAACCAAAGCAGGGAAGACCTGGCTAGCCTCTGAAAAAGCGAAGGCGAGAGAGGCCATGGATAGCAAAGGAAAGGCAAACGCGGTCAGGATCCTTGAAGACAGTGGTAGTGAATCTGAGAGATCTACCTACTTGCTTCCGAACACAAAGGAAACAGCCCTCCACAATGGTATCTCGACAGCTGTGCTTCCTCCATATCACCCCAAGGAAGACCAATTTATCTCAAAGTTGTCCCCTACAAAGACAAGTGTTGAGATTGCAGACGGCTCCTGAGGTTCGTTCAAGAGGGAAAGGAGATGTGAGGATCTTTTACGTCTCACAGAAAGGAAGAGCAAGGTCGACAATAGTACGTGGGTGCACTACATCCCGGAGGCGACGAGCAGCCTGCTATCAGTCGGTGAACTGGAAGACAGGGGAGCATGTATTGTCGTGGACTCTCCGGGGAAGACAGTCACGGTGACAAGAAATCAGGAGGAGGTGCTGTTTGGCCACAGACATAAAAGGTGTGGCGCTTGAGCCAGACAAGAGGGCACCGAGCCCATACAATCCAAGAAAAGGATGGCGATAACGGGGTAGCGCTGAAGTCAATCCTGAAGATGCCTGAAAGACTACTACATGCTAGGCTGGGACACCCTGGAAAGCATATGGAGGGCAAACTGAACGCCGTAATGGATGATCTCGAGACAACTCATTCTGCCCGTCATTCTGCTCAAGCTGCACCGAGGCCAAAATGACAAGAAAGGTCTCAAGGGAGCCAATGTCTGCGGTGACAGAAAAGCTAGAGAGAGTCCATATAGATCTTTGGGGCCAGTTGAGCTATCACTTCAAGGAATGAAGTACATGCTGACAATCACCGATCAGGCTACCGGGCGAGTTTGGGTTTATTTCTAGAGACAAAACGAGAATTACCGACAAGATCAAAGCCTGGGTAGTTGTTGCAGAGGCAGAGTGTCGCGAGTACGGAAAAGGCGAAAAGGTCAAGGCGATGCGCTTTGATCGCGGAAAGGAGTTTCTAAACGAGGCAATGAGGGTATTTTGCACGGGGAGAGCTATTCGGATCGAACCAACAGTGGGCTACCACCCGGAGGGGAATAGTATCTCTGAGAGGAGCATGAGAACCATATCAGAGAGGGGTCTGCATGCGTCACGAAATGGATCTCCTGCAGCATACTGGGAGTTTTCGAACGCAACAGCGGCCTATCTGAGAAATAGGAGTTGTCAGGGAATGGCTAAAAGCCCATGGGAGTTATGGCGTGGAGAGAAGCCAAGATCAGGGCACTTGAGAGTGTTCGGATGTCCTGCCTGGGTATTTATTCCCAAAGAAAAGAGAACAAAGCTTCTGAAAAGAGCATGGCAAGGAGTTTTGTTGGATACAAAGAGGAGACAGATAAAATCTATCTAGTCTGGAACCCAGCTGATAAGAAGGTCCACGAGGTTCGATTCGTGGAATTCTGATGAGAGCAAGTATATGGACAATGAAATCAGCGGGAGCTCACTGATGATGACTCTGATGCCGAAGATTCGGTCAGGGATAGGACCATGGACCAGGAAGCTACAGAAGCTGGGGAGGATGCCGGAGAAGCAGCGGACGGGAACCCGACCGGCCAAGACACTGCAGATTCGGAGGAAGGGCTCCAAGGAGACACAATCATTGTCAATACAGGGGAGGCGGATATAACCTCTCCTGAAAGGAGTCTGCCGAAAACAAGATCCCAGATTCGACGAGAGACCGTGGCACTCAAAAGAGCAGAGAAGCAGCGAGCAGAGCTGGAACGGCGGCAAAGAGAAGAACAGCGCATGGCAGAACGTCTGAAGAAGCGAGGGAGAGTGGCAGGAAGGAAAGAGCCATGGTAGCAAGGACGCTTCTCCAGCCTAATACAGACCTGTACGACTTCGACCCGAAAGCTTACCTTCCGACAGGCGATGGAAGGCAGTGAGAAGGATCAATGGGTAGGAGCTATAGATGAGGAAGTTCAGAATCTCATTCGACGACAGACATTCTCGGAGGAAATCAACGAAGTTGACGTGCACGGAGAAGAAGTAGTTGATGCCAAGCTTGTGTTTGATCGCAAGAAAGACAAAGAAGGAAGATACTACGGTATAAAGCACGTCTAGTCGCGAGAGGGTTCACACAGAAACACGGGATCAATTACGAGGAAACCTTCGCACCCACGATCCGGCTCGATGCGATGAGGATCATTCTAGCTTTAGCGGCGAAGAAAGGCTGGAAGGTATACCAGATGGATGCTGTGGCTGCGTTCCTTGCAGCAGACCTAAAGGAAAGGATCTTCATGAAAGTGCCAACTGAGCTCCAGCAATATTTCGGGAAATACGTTCAGATCCTGAAGAGTTTGTACGGATTGAAGCAAGCTGCAAGGATGTGGTATTTGCTAATATCAGAATATCTCAAGGAGATTGGTTTCTCACCGATGACAGTGGACCCGACAATATTCAGACATACAGAGTCGGAGGTAATCATCGGCGTGCACGTGGATGACTTTATGATTACAGGGGGGAACGAGGATGCCATTGAACGGGTCAAGGAAAAGCTGAAGGGAAGATTTGAGATGAAAGACCTCGGAGAAGCAGAGAACATTCTCGGAATTCGGATTCAAAGGCACAAAGGAAAGCTGATGATTGATCAATCACAATTTGCGAAGGAAATCGTGGCAGAATTTCTACGACGACTCAATGAAGCACGCAACCCCATGGAACCTGGAGCTATACGGAAGCTCGCTGAGGAACGGGACGGCCTCTGAACCATGACGAATGGTTGAAATACGTGGAATTGCTCGAAAGCTGATTTGGCTATGCAATACGAGGTTCGACATTATATTCGCAGTTAACAGAATGGCATCTTTCACGGTAGAGGCATGCTGGAACCACTGGAAGGCTTTGCTACGAATATTGGGTTATGTCGGCAGGACTATTCACCACGGTATCACATATGGCGGAAATAATGAGCACGCACAAGGAGTCGAAGGCAGCGATATCGACTATTACTCCATTGACCACAACATCGAAGGGCACGTCGGCTCTGCAGGCCTGCAAGATGGAGAAGCGTTCTCTGACACCGACTACGCTACTGATCCAAGGGACCGGAAGAGTATCCTGGGGTTCGTCTTTATGGTCTACGGAGGCGCCGTCATGACGTATAGCAAGAAGATGAAATCAGTGGCAAGATCTACGACAGAAGCAGAGTATGTTGGGATGGGGGAGGCCACAAAAGCTGCCCTCTGGGGACGTCGACTACTTGCAGAACTGGAAGGAAAGGGGGAGCAAACAGTGCCACTACTGCTTGAGATAATAAGGGAGCTGTACAGCTGACCCGAGGAGTATCGAACACGTCGAAAATCAAGCATGTTGATATAGCATTTCATCACGTCGTTGATGAGGTCAAGGAAGGAGAATCCAAGTCTACTGGGTTCCAGGGGAGAATATGCTAGCAGATGGGATGACCAAGCCTCTGCCTAGGAGGCTTTCGAGAGGAACAGGAGGAGGATTGGAATTGGACCCATACGCTATGAATAGCGTTGCAGTTGAAGTCTGACAGCTCTAGGGGAGTGTTGACTTGATATGAGACATGGACCAAGACATGTTTAGGCAGCAGTTACAAGTGGTGAGTCATGGATAGTGGCACGGACGTGCCACTATGTATATATGTATGTTGAGAGCTGTCAGACAGAATTGAATAGAAGTAAGTTCAATCGCAACAAAATGAAGAACCAATTGAGTCAATGTGTCGATGTGATGCGGCATTATTCAAGGTTTACTTGGACCTGAGAGTGAAAAAGTCGAGAATCAAGAAAGAGTCCACCATTGCGTTATACTGGAAACGATTGAGCCAGGTCTACGCACAGAAAAGTGCTAAGTGGATGACCGAAAGCGTTCTTTTCGATATTCGAAATGTAAGTTAGTCGGTTAAGTTTCACAATCAGTGGCTGACGACACCAGTGGATTCCGACCTACCTTACACCCAAGTACGGCTTGGACACATCCAAAAAAGAAAAATCCGGCATCTTCATCGACGACCTGGCCATCATGCTGAACCACCTTTGATCCGCGACGAGGAGATTTTTACTCACGAGCGACTCCGAGTCCAGTTATCGGCCAATTTGATCCTGGCAGGCGCTACGGCGACCCGACCGGGAGCCTTGATTGGGCAGCTGCTCTACGAGAACTTAGAGTTCCAAGTGTTTCCTCCGGTAAAAGGAGACACCCGGCCGCGTATTGCTCTGATCGTAAATCTAGAGCACATCAAGCGGACAGCGGGGAGCTCAGAGCCAAAAAGATTCGCCTTCCGCGAAGATGATTTGCTCTTGTACGACCCGCTGATCCCGATGATGGCTCTGGTATTTTGTGACGGTGCGTTCGTCAATGATTTGGCAGGTCCACAGAGCTTGTATAGCTTCGTGGTGCCACCTGAATCCGATCGCATTCGTCTCCTTGGAAGAAAGAGTGGCTGAAGCGCCCCGTTTTCCGAGACGTTGAAGACACTGAGCACGGCATACAGATCTCACTAGAGAGGCCACTTGACTACAAAAAAGAACGACGACATTTAATTAGACTGGGACGTTCGATTGGAATTGAGAAGCAGCTCGAATGGTATGACCTTCGCCGAGGGTCTGGCAAAACTAAACGGTTCGTGCCCCCAGTTCGTCCATTTGACAGCATTAATAACGCCGTAATGCAGAAGCGCTCACGCCAGAGGAGAGAAACAAAATCATGGGACATCGAAAGGGAGATTCGAGCACTTACTTGCAATATTACATGTCGAACTTCATTGACGTGGATTGCCAGTCAATCTGCTTCGGCACAGCCCCGCAACACGACCTTGTGCAGTTAGCCGCCCGCCTTCGCCGCCATGACGGCGCTCCAAAAGAACTGACAGCCCAACAAATTGCAAAAATCCATAAAAACGAGAAACTTGCCAAATATTGTGCCGAGAGAAACCGTGCGATGCTAGAATGGAAACGCCAGGGCTACCGCAGCCGAGAACTCGCCGAAGGCACCGAAATGCAGAAGCGATACGACCGCTACAGCAAGAAGATTAATAACCTGCGCAGGGTCTTGAAGGCGTCTCGACTGCAAAAAGCCATTCAAGACTTTCACACTAATGTCCATGTGGACGAGGTTAACCGACAACCCGGGGTATAAGGCCTGCCGATGTCATTTCACCGCCGAACATAGAGTATGACTTACCAGAGCGGGCTCAGGTTGCATTTCTCTTTTCACGGGCGGCTGAGTTAACAGACACGGGGTCTTTGCACTCTTTACGCGTTGATTTGATATCTGCGCTGGCCCAGCTTTGCAAGCGACGCGAAAGCCCTTGTCGTGGGACAGAGAAAAGAGGCCGCAAACAAGCGGTCACGAGGCGTCTTCGCTCTTACCGCGCGCAAGGAACCTATGAAAATGGCGGTAAGGCCAATATTCCGGAACTGGAATCACCTGGAAAACCAAGTGAGTCTACGGTTGATTTGTCGGAGGGTGCAAGACCGATGTGCCCATTTTGTCGATGGCAAGGCAGCCATGGAAGGAGCCAACGGATTAAAACATGGCGACTGAGTAACCTGGCAAGACATATTCGGGGACAGCATCTCAAAAGGACGGACGGCATTTCTATGCCCCTGGCAAAACTGTGAAGCAGTTCTTGCAGACGCAGAACACTTCGCAAACCATGCGTCCCGACATGGGCTTGATTTACCACCGAGTATACTAAGGCGATAACTTTTCTTCGAATGATGGAGAGATGGAAAAAATATTGAATAGTGTTGGTAGGTCTCGTGCACGTAACAAACTGGGTTAACCGGTGTGTCGTATTCTGCAATGAGGATTGTCTATCGAAAAGGGGGAGGAGGCCACGATGCTAGTTATGTGGCCTCAGCCGTCCTCAGCAGCACACGTGACTGTGTAAGGGATTTTCCGATGATCTGCCGGATCCCGTGACCCGCCGGACTTACACGCGACTGAAAGTTAAGACATCAATCCACAATAACTCCACAGCAACGGGGCCAAAATTTGTCCAACTTAAAATGTGATGAAAAAGCGACTGCGAGATGTGCATCATCCTGTTTCGCAGTCATCAAGCCATTGTGGTCGCTTGCTATTCCGCTGCGGCCGTCCTGAGCTCCGATACCCCACTACCATCTCCCGATCACTCTCAACAGCCAGAAAAGGTCTTTGGGCACGAGGCGTTCGGCCGGGCGGAATCCTTGCCTTCTTTGCTAAGTCGTTCTCTGGCTGATCTGGCGCTTGCGATGTTACCGGAGGCTCTGGTGGTGACGGAGGAGCGACGATTATTTCGTCTAGAATCCCTGGACTCTCCTCTCGTGCATCAAAAGGCACCCGCCGGCTTTGCTGCCCCTGTTGTGGCCTTTCCCGGTTAAGATGCCCGAGGTCGTCACGAAGCTGTCGGTTAGCCTCTTTCTTGCTTTCTGGCTTCTTTTTCCTGCAATTTTCGCCCTTTTCTCCTCTCGCCGCCTCTTCCTCTCCAACACGACCTCTTTTGTTCTTCCGCCTTCTGCTGTCGCTGAACCTTCTGGGATTCCTTTGGAGAGCCTTCTCTTCTTTGGGCCTCCATCGCAGCTTTCTTCACTCGAGCTTGGGCCACTTTTTGCGGGCTGAAGACCTGAGCAGAGTAAGGATCCGTACGGTCAAAGAGATAATCTTTCAGAGCTGTACCACGCTGCCTGCGCTGCTTCTCATGAATTATTGCCTCACGGAGTCCCTTGTTCTCATATCTAAGCAGCTCAACCTCGGATTGAAGGCTTTCGAGAGTGCTCTTCAGCTTCCGAGCATTGACTTCCGAATCTGCGGTGGATTTGTCGACTACTTTGTCCACAAGCCGTCGTAATTCTCGAGCAGTAGGCTGTTGCAATGCTAGTGAGTCTTCCGAACCACTGCCTACATCGGAATCGTCGATTCTGTCTTTCACAATCTGTGATAGGACGACTTCGGGATCGAAAGGAAGGAGCCCGGTCCGCATCCACCCACTTTCAACGTTCTCCGGTGAGAAAGACGCCTCGAATGCATTCCAAAACAAAGTCCAGAACTCGCGCTTGGACAGCCCAACGAGCCCTTGAGTCTTTGCCGTCCACCGGATAAGCTGATTTGTGTATGCCGTTGACAGAGGGCTGAATAGGGATACGTCCAGGGGCTGGAGCCGATGGGTAGAGTGAGGAGGAAACACCGCCACGATGATCCGATGCTGGTCGCACCACTCCAGAAAGCCCATATTAATATGGCTGGAGTGTCCGTCGGTAATAAGAAGGCGATAATCACGTCCATTTCGTGCTTTTGCCTTGGTAAACCGATCAAAAACGCCGACGAGCCACTCTTTCCCAAGCTCGTGGTTAGTCCAGCCCGTCTCTGAGGTTGTGAAGAATGCTGATTGATGCTCTGGGTCAAAGTCCGTAAGCCAAGAATCTTGGACTTGTCCTGGCTTGCCTTGGTAGATGAGAAAAGGAGGCAGTGATGTCATGTCCTGGCAGATGCAAGCCACGAACGTAATCCAGGATCGATTGCCGTCTTGCAATGCGCCGAGCAATTTGCCTTGCTTTTGAGATCAAGGGTGAAGACTCTCTTAGTTCGATTGATCACACCCAAGAGAAAGCCTTTTTCATCCATATTATACGTGTTGCAAGGGACAATGTCGTATTTCTCGATTTTCGCTCGGATCTTCCACAATTAGTAACGAATCTGAGATTTTGTAGACCAACTTACAAGCTCAAAATATGCCTTATACCTAGAGGTATTATCGGCTCTTTTCCGTGCAATGTCAAATCCATCGAACCAGCTGCAACCTAGCTCATTGCGGTTGCGATGAACAAAGCTGTATTGTAAGGGGCTACGCCCCGATGTGTAGATCTGGCATGGCCAGACTAGTCACGTGCGAGCGCCACGGACACGACTCCTAAAGGGAGCGATGTAGACACGTCTCCCCTTTACACTCTTTGTAGCTCAATTTACATCAATTACGCCCAGCACCTGTGCCAACAGTGCTGACCCCGTAACATATTGAGCTACCAGTTAACAAAAGACAGGACAGACAGAAGGACAGACAGCAGGACAGACAGCAGGACAGACAGCAGGACAGACAGCAGGACAGTCAGCAGGACAGACAGCAAGACAGGCGATAGGCTAAACGACGAGACGGACGATCGATCGGACGACGAGACGGACGAACAAGATGGAGGACAATAGTAGTTATGCAGGGGCACCGCGACCGGCGGCGCAACGAGCCGATGGAGGGAAGGAGCAAGAGCTCTTGCAGATCTTATCTGGGATCGCGGGAGACGAAGAACTGCGGAAGATGTTCACCGGGCTAGGCCTAGCAGCGCCACCGTTGACACCCAGCCCGGGGGTGCTCAGTACCCCGGCGATCTTACCCGTCGAACCGAGGCCGGAAGCAGCCCAGGAAATGGACCGTGGCAAGAAGCGCAAGCCGATGACTTGGCCGAAGTGGAACGGTCAACCGAGTCCTTCCACTTCTACCTCGACCGTCTGGTATTTAAGTACAATACCGACGAAGAGGGCCTAAACGGCAATAACAACGTCGTGTGGTACGAGATCCTGCAGACCTTGCCGGATCAGATGATGAGGAGAGTCGAGGGTTTTGGAGGCAAGAGAGCGCGAAGGGCAACCCAGACCCCGGAAATTCTTCTCGCACCTAGCCCAGACGTTCGGCAGCGTGCAGCAGACAGAGAGGGCGCAGGACAGGCTGCGCACCTCATTCAACGAGACAGCCAAGAGTTTGGGAAGTTCCTCCCTGAATTCGAGGAAACATTGACCAAAGCGGGCGGCGCGAGCTGGGATAATGCTTCCAAGCTCGCATGGCTACGGAACTCGATCTCTCCTGCTCTCCGTGAGCAACTAGTCCCGGTTATCATGCCGAAGGACTACAACGAGTACATCCAACGTCTACACCCGATTGCTTGGGCGTTCGAGCACACCGCGAAGTTTAAGGCGTTGCAGAGGAAGCAGGGCTCCCGCGGGCAACGTGACCAAGGGCAGGCATCAGGCATCGGCAACATCCAGGTCGCCGGTAACGACAACACCCCGGCACCGTCAGCAACGTTACCCGCCGAGCAGAACGCACGTGACGCACGCGACCATGACGGCGACGTAATAATGACGGTTACACGCACTCAGGGCAGGGTCAGAGAGGACGGGCGAACGGCCAGGGTCAAGTGGAACGAGCTGTCGAGAAGAAGGTCCGAACGAGTTGAGGTCCCTAGGTCTCTAGGTAATACAGCTTGAAACCAGGTAAGAAGGGAAGTCTGCAGACTATTGTTTCTTCTTCCTAGACCACTGAGGGGTCCGGAGGATCTCCTATTCGATCGGGATCCTCCAAGGAGTCCGGTATATCTTTTACTGGCTCGGGACCTCAAGAGATTGAACTATCGACCTAATAGCTTGGAAAGCTATTGATCGGGGAGATCGAGCTGAATGTGCTGACGTAGATGGCTTACGCGGCCTTCAGTGAGAGGCAAGGAGTGCCCTCTTCCTGATAGAATGTATATTATACCTGAACACGGGATATGAACATAGGGAAGGCACAGAGGGATATAAAAGGGGAGGGCTAGACGGATACAGGGCAACTGGACAGAAAAAAAAAACACATGCACATCACCGACTATCAGATCATCTGAGAATCTACCTACGAAAAGTCCCTTTATCCACTTTTATGCCCACTTATGCTCTCTTCTTCGCGAGACGAGCAAGACGGTTCGCTTCCAGCCTAGGTCAGGACGGAAGCAACGGGCGAGGTGGGTATCCGAGGACGAACGGAATAAACGCCGTGACGAGGGTCGTTGTCTCCGCTGCGGCGACAACACCCATTTCATTGCCGCTTGCCCCTACTCGCCAGGACAGGACCCTAGCCGGTCGAGGGATGTAAAGTCCGCACCGCCAGGATCATGCCCTTGCTGGAAGATGATGGTAACGACTCTAGTGAGGAAGAGTCAGGACTTAGCGAGACCCCATCCTCTCGGGAAATGCGTAGCCTCGAAACAAAGACGGGTCTCGAGGCCAAAGAACGGAGCAGTGGCAAAGAAGAGAAGTTCTCAGGAAAATGGAAGTTGGTCCTACAATAATTCGAAGCATTATCAATAGGACCAATCTCTTCTCCTCACTCGTAGACGAGGGATGCCAGTGCTACGCCGCGGTTGACGAAGAAGTCGTCGAGAAGTTGGAAGTTCCTATAGTGGAAATAGCACCGCGAGCTATTACAGGAGCATCAGGGGCAATGGAAGGAGCAACGATTAGGGGCCTCGTATGGCTATCAATGGAGGTCAACGGCCACATACAGACGATCTGTGCCTACGTGGTGCCCTGATTGGAATTCCCTAATCCTAGGAAAACCCTGGTTATGCCACACAAAGTCGTACTCAGTGCCCCACGAGAAACGACTATGGCATGAACCTACACAAGACTGGGTAGATCACCTCGGGAAGGAGAATATTCTGCGAAAGCCAAGGAGTTCGAAGAAGCAAAGCACGTACTAGCCAGTACCTTTGTGGGTTACTTTGAAAGGATCCGCAAGCAGGAAGGAAGAGAGGCAGCTGCCACGGCGATTTTCGCTATCAGCATGAAGGATATCGAAAGGGCGTTATCACCAAAGAAACCCATGTCAGAAGCAGAGCTACGCCGAACGATACCCCAGCGGTTCCACGATTTACTGCCTCTATTTATGAAGAAGGAAGCTGATAAGCTGAATCCTCATAAGCCAGGCATAGACCACGAAATCAGAATCAAGGAGGACCCGAATGGCCAGCAGTTACCACTACCGTATGGAGCACTATACGGTATGTCACGAGAGGAACTCCTGGTTCTTAAGAAGACTCTACGAGACCTAGTGGATAAAGGATTTATCCGTGCAAGCAGTTCAGAAGCAGCAGCTCCAGCCCTGTTTGTGAGGAAACCAGGTGGCGGGCTGCGATTCTGTTGTGACTACAGAGCGTTGAACGCAATCACTAAGTCGGACCGTTACCCCCTTCCTCTAATAGGGACACACTTCGCAACCTAAAAGATGCGAAGTGGTTCACTAAGGTCGACGTGGTACAAGCGTTCCATAAAGTACGGGTTGCAGAAGGAGACGAGTGGAAGACAGCGTTCCGCACCCGGTACGGTCTCTTCGAATGGATGGTTACCCGTTCGGGCTAAGTGGCGCGCCAGCAACCTTCCAGCGGTATATTAACGGTATCCTACGAGACTACCTCGACGAGTTCGCCTCTGCTTATATGGACGATATACTTATCTATTCGAGCGGGAGCAGAGAAGACCATTTCCGGAAGGTACGGTTAGTTTTAGAACGCCTCGCCGAGCATGGACTACACCTAGACCCGGAGAAATGCGAATTTGGAGTCAAGCGGATTAAGTACCTAGGATTCATTATTCACGCAGGAATTGGCATTCAGGCAGATCCCGACAAGATACGAGCAATAGTCGAGTGGGCAGTCCCCGTTACCCAGAACTTAGAAGGGGGTGCGCAGTTTTCTAGGATTCGTTAACTACTACCGGATATTTATACCGCAAGCCTCGGAAATAACTGCACCCCTAACAGCACTAACAGGAAAGGGGACTAAGTTCAAGTGGACGGACGAGCACGATATGGCGTTCCAGACACTAAAGACGCTATTTACGAACGCCCCTATTCTTACTCAATGGGATTTCGAGAGGCCAACCTTCGTAGAAGCAGACTGTAGCGGCTGGGCGCTTGGGGGCACACTTACGCAGGAAGTCGACGGACAACGCAAGCCAGTAGCGCTCCACTCGCAGAAGCTATCACCGGCTGAGCGCAACTACCCAATCCATGATAAGGAAATGCTCGCTATTATTCGTTGTCTCGAACAATGGTCAGCCGAGCTACGAAGCTGTGATAACTTCGTTATCCTTACCGACCATAAGAACCTCGAGTATTTCATGACGCGCCAACAGCTCTCGGAAAGGCAGGCACGTTGGGCTGAATATCTCTCGCGTTTTAACTTCCAGCTCCAGTACCGTCCGGGACGGAAGCAGTGGTGCCAGACGCGCTCTCGCCGCGAACAGGACCGACCAAACGAAGCGGATCACGAAGCACGAGATATGCAGCTTATTCCAGAAGCAGCCCTACGTACCTACGTCGGAGTAACGTCGACTCAAGCGGGAGAAGGCGAAGAAGAACACACGGTTTTCCACGACCCAGAGCTACAACAATTATGGCAGCAAACGGCAAACCAGGATCCAGTCTTTACAAGCGTTTATAACGCGGTACGAAACGGATCTCGGTCCCTCGACCCCAAGCTTAAGCTGAAGGTACAAGTCGCCGAGTGCTTTAATTACCGTGTGTTGTGATGATATCAGTAAACTTCTCGAAGAACCTCTTAACATTGGAGATATCGCCAGCTTCAAACGTCTTCCTAGACTTCTCAACCGCCTTGATATATGTGACGCGGAGCTCTGGGTGGTCTTGAAGCCATTGAGAATACCACGCTCTAGAGGGCGGCTTGGCGTCAGGGTTGCGGCGTTGAAGGAGCGATAAAGCCGCCGGCGGACTCGACATGCGCCTTACTCGCTGGGAAGCCACTTCGCTGTAGCCAAATCACATAGGCGGCGATAGCGTCATCTTCGTCGTCAGAGAGCAGTCTTGGCCGGCCAATGCGGCCAATGTCTCCGTGCCGCCGTGCAATGCCTTTCTGGACCGTGGACTTGGCCACGCCAAAGATCGCTGCCGCCTGACGTACTGATACGGGCTTCTGGACCGCCCCTTGCCCGGATTTGCGCGTTTGGCGGCGGCCTGTTTCGAAGCTCTCGCGAGACTCAAGAACAAGCTTTACAGCCCTTGCAATAGCGATTTGGGAATACATTGCGTGTTGGCGACGTAGAAATACGTCATGAGTATCATGCGGTCGCGAGTTTTGGTGGGAAGATGCACTAAAAACGCGGTGCTACGATAGTGGGCCCGTGCGCGGCTGTCCACGGGTTTTCTGCATGTCCACGACTTTTTTAGCCAACTTAGGGGAAGGCCCCAAGTTGGCATACGAAGGCACTAGCCAACGGGTAAGGGGCTTACCCCCTTAGTTGGCTCCTGAAGGGCCCCGCCAACGGGTAAGGTTATGTATCTTCGAACTCCTCTCAACTTTTTTCCGCGACGGATGACATGTGCTCTGACCTCGCAATCCACTAATGTTGTTCCGCCATCTCCAGTAACCTGCGCCATGGCTCACCTTACTCAAGACGAGCGCGATATCATCGAACAAAATCCTTTCGGCGACTCACTCAGCGCCGTTCGTAAAGCACTGCGCGAGGCCGAACCAAACACTCCCTGCGAAGCGTCCGAGCCAGATGACAGCGCAGACGCGCCAGAACGACCACGATTGTTTGTGGCAGCAATTGGCAAACTGTTCTCTATTCTCTCTGCGTCCGATGTATCTCCACAACTGGCTTCGAGAACCGGAAGGGACTCTCTGTTTTCTGATCTAGGCATCGTCCGTTCACGACTTCCGAAGGGCGACTTCGAGTACCAGCACTTCCGCCCGCTGTCACAGCTTGTAATCAAACAAGCCCCCGATGTCGACATTTGGGCTGCCGTCGTCGCCCTCATCCGAGCAATCTCCCAGTCCACTCCGCCACCGAGCCTTCCACCGTCCTTCAACACCCCCATCTCCCATTCATCCGCCTCACTGCAAGGCTCGGAACAGACGCGGAAGAAGATCGAAGATCGCGTGTTCGAAGAGATTCGCCACTGCACGCACCGTGCAGTCGGCGGATTCCACGAGAAATATTTTGAGGGCAAAAAATGGAACCGGCGAGCCAAGCGAATCTGGGAGGCCGCCAAAAGCCACTACAGCGACAGCGATAAGCGGTGGACACAACTTCCCGACGCGCCCACGGAGGACGATGTGGGCGACTGGTGGCTCGGCTTGCAGCAAGAGCTGTTGTCAAACGAAGGTGCCGCCTACTTCAGGACCACCCTAGACAATAAAGTAGGGGCGAAGACGTCACGGCAGCTGGACCTTATCGTGAAAAAGAAAAGGGGGAGGGAAGCCGACGCGAAGCACGACTGGCGACACGTGTCGGTCGTCGGCGAGATCAAGGAATCCAACCAGAAAGACAAAGTCCTGTTGCTTCAGATTGGCAGCGCTGTGCGCAACGTATTCGCAAGCCAGCCCACACGTCTATTTGTACCCGCATTCACTCTGGCTGGCACTGAGATGGAAACATGGGCCTTCGATCGGTCTGGGCCGTACAGCGGAGCTACGTTTGACATCCACGAGGAGCCCGAGAAGTTCATCCAGGTCATGTGCGGTTATCTGATGATGAGCGACGAAGATCTGGGCTTGGATACAATCACCAAGGAGAAAGACGACAAGCTATTCATCACCATACCTGTTGAAGCTCGCGGGAAGAAACGGAATAGGGAACTCGAACTCGACCCCAACCCGATCGCCCTTCAGCGAGCGATTGTCTGTCGCGGCACGTCGTGCTTTCGTGCCAAGCCTACGGGCGCAGCGGGGTATGACAGGGTCGTGAAGTTCTCTTGGACCTCTAGCGTGCGACCACCCGAGGCGGACCTTCTTATGAAGGCAAACGATCGCGGCGTGAAGGGTCTCGCGAAACTGGTTGCCTACCGTGAAGAAGTCACCAGCATAAGCAAGCTGCGTGAAGGTCTCGTCTTCTCGACTCCGCATAAGTTTCGCGGCGTGCCGCGCAGCGCCCACTCGTCCTTCTCACAATCGCAGCTCCCGCCGAGTCGCTCGTTCAGCGAGTTTCACGGTCTCAGCATTGCCAGCGGAAAGCGAAAGTCTATAGATGGAGGAAGTCATACGTCGAAGAGACCCCGGTCGAACAGCCAGCTAGCCGAGACAGCACACGGAGAGGGGATCACTTACCCCGTACAAGAACCGGAGGGTACTAGTCTCATCCAGCAAGACCAAGACCTGCCGTACGATAATCGCATCTTTCGCGTACTGGCCATCTCTCCGGCGGGCCGATCCATCAGCCAGTTCAAGTCTGTTGTCGAGCTCCTTGAAGGCCTTCGTGATGCCATCAAGGTGCACCGATCACTCTTCATGGATGGGGAAATTCTGCACCGAGACATCTCGGAGAACAACATCATCCTCACGGACCCGGACACGGCCGACGGCTGCAAGGGCGTGCTCATCGATTTGGACCTGGCCAAGGAAGAAGGCACCGGCCCGAGCGGCGCCCGGCATCGGACTGGTACGATGGAATTCATGGCGATTGAAGTGCTCCTCGAAATATCGCACACGTATCGTCATGATCTTGAATCATTCTTCTATGTCCTTATCTGGCAATGCGCCCGCCGTGGCTGGGGACTTCTAGGCAAAGCAAAGCAGCAGGCAGGAGAGAGTATGTTGATGGACTGGTATACCGGCAGCTACAAAAAGATCGCAAACACGAAGCTTGGCCACATGGATGCAGGCAAGGGTAAAGGACTTGATCTCATATTAAGGGAGTTTCCACCAGCATTCGACTGTGTGAAGCCCCTGTGCAGGACGATAAGAGACATATTGTTCCCATACAGGCATGGACTTTTTACCGGCACTCCACAGGACCCGAAGATACTGTACGATCCAATCATCAAAGCATTCGAGGATGCCTTGGAGGAGACTGGGCAGACAGAGGCAGATACATGATTGCGTCTGGCGAATAACACAACTCATATTGCCTGGCTTCCGGTCACTCGTACGAGGTCTGTTTGCACCGATGTTGCCAACGGTTATTTGACAACAAACGAATGCCCGGCTTGCGTCATTAGCGGTCTTTGAATACATTAAAAAGCGAGACAGGATGGCAGCGGTGGCCCTTGGGGTTCTTCTAGTGACTGGCGGGGTACGCCAAGCCGCCTGTAGTAAAAGGCTGGCGGCGCCGTTGACGGTGGCGGCGGCGGCGGCGCCTTCGTGGCCTCGCTGCGTTCGATGCCTTCCACGATCTCGTATGCGGAGGGGTCTCGTCTCGTACTGCGTGTGTTCTCGAGGTTAAGTGCGCCCTTGGGTCTGCCTTTGCCACGCACAACAAGCGGCTCAAATGGCGCTTTGAAGCCTGTGTAGATGGGTGCTTGTTGTACGTGCCAAAAGACATCAAAGTCATCAAGCCGCAACGAAGCCCTCTCTTTGACTGGCTCTTCAAGCCGCTTGAAGAGAAGGTGGCGGCACGGCGGGCCCATGCTGATGTTGAAGCTACAAGGGCAGCAGCCTGACGGCTTCACTAGCTTCTTTGTGCGTACGGAGTAGATTTGATCGAATTGTGTTGTGTTGTTCAGCAACAAGGGTAAGGGCCCGAGATGACACCCTCTCGCGCACCGTGAGATACAGGTCTTTGAGCATAAAGGAGCTGATTTTGTGCACATCGTGACGTCGAATAGCCTCAATTTCAGAGGCCTGATGAGCCCAGAAGGCAGCGAATTTCTTGAAGACGGTTGTGAGATCCCCTGTTGAAGACCAAAGGAACCGCTTCATCGAGGAATGTAGACCCTCAACGACTGAGGTAGTTGTATGACCAAAGTGGCGATGCTGGTTGACGAAGCAAGTGACGAGCTTTTCCTTCCAAGGCTCGAGCCATGTTTGTAGCGTATAGCGCACAGCAGCGGCTGGGTGAGCTACCTTGTACTGCTGGAGGCGCTGGTTGAAGCTATTCACATCCTCTGAGCTAATTAATTTCCCCCGGTCTTGAAGGAACGATGTGAAGCTTGGGGCACGTTCGATCTGGCCCTGGGCGTTCCTTGTGGCCTTAGGAAAATAGGCCTTGCATTTAGCAAGAACATTCTTATTGACATGCCAGCGGCAGAGCAATTGAGTCGTATCTTCTAGCTCTTTGAAGCTCGCAAGAGCGTTGATGAGGGCCAAATCGCGGTCTGTGATAATAACTCGGGGCAGTGGAATTCCCTCTTTAGTAGCCAGCGTAAGTAAGGCTGCTATAGCCCAACGATAATTAGCCTCAGCCTCGCCGGTCAAGAAGACTGAAGCTATCGAGAAGGTCTTCTTTGTGTGGGTTACCATGCACCACCACCCTTTCGCCAACCCCACCCTTTCGCCAGGCAAAAAAAAAAAACCACCACCAAAACTCAACTATTTCATTTATACAGAATTTGGCCAAAATAGAAGTTATTGGCAAGCGGTCACTTCTCATAGATATAAAATTGATTGGAATTCATTTTTCTGGTCTCGTGCAGTTGCGTGGGGCACGTGATGTATGCAAGCCATTGCAAGGAAATATCACCATCTTAATCACCAAATTCTCACCGCTCTTTCCCAACATTTCTCATGCCAGTCTCTCACAACGCAATAAAATGCCTTCATCGCGGCCTCGTTGGAAATATACAGAAGACGACGTGGCCGAGGCTATATTAGATATCACCGATAACGGCTGTTCACCCTCTCAAGCGGCTCAGAGATGGGGAGTGCCTCGAAGGACTCTGATCGACAGATTTAACGGCCTGACGGCCATGAAAGAGCAAATTCAGCCTGGTCAGCGTTTGTCCAAGAATCAGGAAGATAAATTGGCTTTCTGGATTCTTCGTCAGGAGTCTCTGGGATATGCTCCGTCCCACAATCAGATTCGCGCTTGCGTCATGGGCTTGTTAAGACATCAAGGCGAACAACCAGAATTAGGACGCAACTGGGTAGCCAGATTCATCGAGCGCCACCGAGACCTTAAGACTAAGATCGGTAGACGTCAGGAAGCTAATAGGTTTGAATCCTTCACGCCTAAGGCGGTTCATTGGTACTTCGATGTCAGGAGGGCCAGTACGGCTGGATTCGGCCTGAGAACATTGTTAACGTTGACGAAGGAGGCATCATGATCGGTTTTGGCAAGCCGCCATTTCTCTTTTCTTTATTTTCGAAATTTGACTAACTAGACTCTCTTCGTTAGGGTTGGATAGCCTGGTGGTCGGAAGCGCGGACCCAAAGCGAAAGGCTCTTCTCAAGGGACCACAAACTCGAAATTGGACTTCGTTTATCGAAGCTATCACTGCGGACGGCCGTTCCTTGACTCCTGGCATAATATTCAAGGGAAAGGAACTCCAAAAACAGTGGTTCCTTCATGAATTCAAGAAGATAGCGAACTGGCATTACATAACTTCACCAAACGGGTGGACTGATGACCACATTGGTGTTGAATGGCTTGAAAGAGTCTATTTGCCCCAGACCAAGCCTGCCGAGGAGTCCAATGCCAGATTAATCATTCTAGACGGCCACGGGAGCCATGCAACGGTACTGTCTTTGTTTACCTAGCCAAAGGTCGCTGCTAACGGAGCGAAGGACGAATGGATGGCTACATGCTTTTTGAACAACGTTTACTGTTGCTACCTTCCAGCACACTGCTCTCACGGCCTCCAGCCATTGGACAATGGAGTATTCAACGCCTCCAAAGCTGCATATCGACGAGAGTTGGAAAAGTTCGCTTCCCTGACTGATTCTGCTCCGATGGATAAGGTCAATTTCATCAGAGCCTACGCCAAGGCTCGTGAAGTGGGAATGACGAAGAAGAATATACTCTCCGGCTGGAGAGTTACTGGCAATTGGCCAATTTCGCGAGCCAAAGCTCTACGGCACCCAGAAATCCAAGAGGATAGGCGGAATGACAGCCCAAAAAGGACTCCGGAGCCGGCGCCGTATTTTGGCTCGGATGATACACCAAAAACCAGCCGCCAGATTCGCGATCTTGGGCTAAACAAAACACCAAAGACACGGAGACGGTATAACGTGATAGCCAAAGGCTTTGAGACTCAACAACAGACGTTAATGGCGCATGCCACGAGAATTGCTGGCATGGAGGAGGAACTGGCACGCCTGAAGAGAGGGAAGAAGAGGAAGGCTATTCCGAATCCCAATAAACGTTTCATGACTCTGAGCGAGGCTCTAGCCTCTGGAGAAGTCAATCCAGAAAAAGGAAGCGAAAAGAAGCATGTTGTGGTGAACCATAGCTCTTCGGGGGAGTCAGGGCCAGAATCGGAGGCTGCTTCAGTTATTGAAGTCAGAGAAGAAACCATACTACCTCAGCGCACCACACGATCGGGGAGGCCGGTCAAAAGCCCTAAAATCCAATAGATACATCAATTGTAAATTTACACCAGGCAACCATTTGCAAATAACTTTTATTTTGGTCAAGTTGTGTGTAAGTGAAATAGTTAAGTTTTGGTGGTGGTTTTTTTTTTTTGCCTGGCGAAAGGGTGGGGTTGGCGAAAGGGTGGTGGTGCATGGTACACCACATATATTCAGAAGAGGCATATTAAAGCGGTTGGGCTGGGAACTGACGCAACAGCTCAACGCCGCTTTTAGGGGCCAAAAAGAGAGCAGAGAGGCGGCCTTCTGGATCGCGAGTGTCCCGAACGAAGAAGTCGGATTTATCAAGCATATCGTAGAGGAATTGAAGCGGTGTACGGCCAGCGAGCTCATCACGGCGATGCCGCGCAATGGCGTTATGTATCTGCCTTGTGGTAATGCCAGCAAGCTCGGGGTCTTCGTGAGTACGTGCTCGTAGTTGCTCTATAATAAAAACAGGCCGTAGGCCATTATTGTATAGCTGAATGATCTCAAGGAAGTATTTGGAGATAACCTCCTTTTTGTATTTGGCATGAGCCATTGGCTCGATGAAAGGGTGGTTGTGGAGGCTGCTCGAGCAGGAGACTGCCCATGAGGCTTGGAGTCGGTCTAGCTTTAAGACTAGGCGAAAGGGGCATCTAGTCATCTGGGTGCTTGACTTGCGACGTTTGGCGAGAGCCTCATTGCCGCGGTTGACGTATTTTCGGACTTTTGAGCAGCGAAGGTGAACGTACGAAGGATTGGCTGCGTTAGGCTTCTTTCCTGCTACACAGAGGGCATACCCATATGTTCGTGCCACAGCGTCACAAGCGGCCTGAGCCTCTTGGAAGGAAGGGAATGTGTTGTTCAACAAAGACTCCATTGCAAGTAGAAATCACGGTGTGAATAGCTTCAATTTGAAGAAGTGATGGGCGATGGAAAATTTAGGTAGGTCATAGTCTCGCGCGTCAAGGAGGGGGACGCGCTCACCAAATTGTGCGGTATCGGCGCTGCGTGCCTTAACCAGCCACTACCCCATTTTTTTCGTCTACGCAATAGCCAGACTGGTCTACTATTTAGTCACCCCCTACTATTTACTTCACTGACTCAATATAGAGTTCCTCCGCTGAGTTGGTTGAGTTGTTTGGGTCTCTGGTGCTTCATAGAGCGGCATGAGCTTGATAACCGTTTCATCCATTATCTTGTAACACGTTAAAGACAGTAACTTGCTAACGGTCGGCCGAGCTTAAACTCCCGAGGAGAACTCCATACAACGACCGAAGCTTGCCTACCGTAACCTATCAAAGCGTTTCAAACTCGCCGAATAAACCCGCCAGGGCCGCCACAATGAATCGGAGTTACTATAGTCGCCGGTCGTGTCAACATGCTGCCAGCGATCAAAGCATTCTCCGCATCGGCCATCAACCACGGGATAGATACTTACGATCTAGAGTTGCCATCTACATAAGCATACTGCGAGCAGTCAAGACTCGTCGTCAACCACGGGCTAGATACTTACGTTCTAGAGTTGCCATCTATATCAGCATGGCTGAAATTCACAAATTTCTCGAACCTTTTCACGACGCTACAATGGCCAACGAAGGCACCGGCAA